TACATTTTTTCATTTATAAAAATTTCTACAAATAATAGAGATTGTAATAGTGATTAAATGTAGTTACAGTTATACACTGTAAATTATTTTTCTCGTATAAAAATAATTTTTCTTTGATGATGTCAGGATCATTTTATTCAATCAATAATTCTGCAATTATAAGAAACGAGTTATTTTTAAACATCTTGAATATTTTATCACTAAATTATTAACGACAGACACTTTTAAGTTATCGAGTAAATAAAAATTTTCAATGACATCCGTTCGTATAATAAATTTTTACATCCAGTAATTATTAATTATATTAGACTTCTAATGAAAATTGTATGTATTTATGCATTACAATAATTATTATACGCGAAGGCAGTCTTCTGATATAAAGAATGAAAACTTGCAACTAACCGAAAAAAAAAAAAATGATAAATGTCATCAGTAGTACAGCTGTTGATTGCTGCGGCGCTAGCTGGTGTTAAAATTTTTATTTATATTAAAAAAATAGCATAAATAGATTTTTACGCACAAATTTAGAAACAAAAAAAAATTTTATTGAATCAGCTTTCTTCCTTCGAGTTTTCTCAGTTCAAGAATATTTTTTTTGAATTAAATTAATTTTTTTCTGGGCATAGACGGATAAATAATTTTAACATTAATAAAAATCAAGTTTATTTTTTTTTTTTTAACAATGTGTGAATACTTAATTCAACGGCTATTGAATATCCAATACCGTAAAGACAGAGTAGTTTAAAGTAAGAAGAATAAAAAATAATCGGACAATAAAGCTCGAGATCATTGAATTTGTCTGTACTGGCGGCGCTAGAATCCCTAAAAGACGTTTTGAAATAATTCAAGGAGTGGAATTGTGCAAAGTGATATTTGTACTTATTCACGGGACTTTTATGCATTGTTCCACTTGGTTTCTATCACACAAAAGAAGCCTTATTCCTTTATAAAATATAAATACAAATATAATCATAAACATAAAAGTCATTTCATCTTATATTTATGATTCATATATAATATAACAACAACAGTCATTTTTTATACTCCTTAAAATAAAATGATTACTTCTAACCGAGTCATAGCTATGGCCGTTGACTAAATAAGTAGATTCACACAAATATAAAACTGGCAGTGCGTTTACGGGCGTTTGTACACATATTTTGTTGAGGGGAATTTTCGTACCGCTATTTATAAATGGATGAGTCGGCTCCGAGAAAATGCGACACGCAATAATTCCTACGCAGTTTCATCGCGTGTTTTTCACTACGTCATAAACACATTCTTTGATATTATCATCACATTTTTCTCCACTACATCTACATCCATATTTATCAGGAAGTCGAGGGTCTATAAGGGCTACTTAAAGTATATTTTTCATAAAAAAAATATCAATAACTTTTGATGTAAATCATTATTTAAGAATATTATATAAGAAATTTTTTTTATATATAAAATAAAATACAATTAAACATTTTAAATACAGTAGGATCACAGGGATAGAATGAGCTTAACGTACTTAAAATGATAAAAAATTAAGTAGATTACAAAAAAAAAATCTTGAACGAAAAAAATTAATTTTCTTAAATCAGGCATAAAATTTTCTTGACTTGAGTAAATTTTACTTAATTTAGGTTTTTGTCTTTATTTTTTCTTTAAAACAATTTTGTTCTTATATCAACAACTTTTCTCTTGAATTAAGTACTTTTTTACTACAAAATTCAAGTGAATTTTTTCATCATTTCAATTCATTCTATTTTACGTCCAGATGAAGTGTGCGTGACAATTAATAAAGATTTTTGGTGAGAAAATTTAAAAGTGGATGATAAATAGTTGGATAAAAAAAACTAAATTAGAGCTGAGAGATGGATAAGTAAAGCGTCTTAAATGATGGTTGAATGGTCCCCGTTGAGAGAGGAAGAATAAAAAGTCGGCAGGAGGGTTAATAGTTCAGGTGACGAGAAGTTAAAAGGGCGCGAGATGTAGATTCAGATGGAGATGGAGTTAAAGAGAAAAAATAAAGTAAATACAAGCGTGTAGGCAATGAGGGTAGGCTGGAGGGTGGAAAGCGCAAAAAAGTGAAAAGGGAATAAAATGAAATGAATGGATTGACAGAGAGAATGGAGAACTGCATTGCAGTATTACCAAGTTGGTGACCCCCCCCCCCCCCACCCTCGCTTTTGAACGAGACATCGGGTCGATCGAGCGCGCGATTCTACGATCGTTTCACCCGGTAATTGGTCCACTTTGTGGCTGGAAAACGATCACCGGTACTACTTCGCTCTGTAATTTTCTTCCTTTCCTTTATATGTTTCACTGTCGATTTTCCGAAGAGACTTCAGAGATATTAACTAGACTTGGACTTATACACTTTATAATTTGATGCTTAATTAACTCGTCAATTTATTTATTAATATTTTACATTTAATTGGTATCAAAGCGATCAGCAAATGTTTGAAAAATTGATGTAATGATGAATGTGTTAATGTAATTATAAAGTTTGTCGAAAGCTTATTGAAAAGCATTAGAATAATTAACTCGCTCACGTTCTCTTAATTAATTTATTGAATTTGATTAAGTAACGTCATTCAATTAACATCATATTAGTGGAGACAATTACTGAGTATTTAGCTGCGATTACATTCACAGGAAGCTTAATTGACGTTGATATAGTTTTACTTAATTATCGTATTTACTCGCGCAATGTAAATGTAAATATAGAATAATCAAAATATTTTAATAAAAACATTTACGTTCAAATATAGGCTCAAATATAGATCATAACTGAATGTTTAATGATTTTTTATAGAAGTTTTTCTTCTCGAGATTTAAATAAATAATCATAACAACTTTAAGAAAACAAGTACAGTAATATATTAATGCTACTTGTAAAATTTAAGAAAAATGTTGATACATTTTTTTTTAAATATTAAAATTTATTTTTTATATTAATTTAAGAAAAAAAGGGTTACATTGATTTTCAAAATCTTTGAATACGCATTTTATAATTTTTAAACTAATAACAACTTTTTTTTTATTAAAAAAAAAAAGATTTCATCCCATGGAGCTTTTTTTTATTATCAAAACAAATAAAATATTTCTTGAAATCAATTTTACTATCGAGAGGTTAAATCAATGAAAAATCCGCAACTTTTTTACACTCTATCGAGCCACATATGAAAATTCGCCAGATATAAAACAATTTTCTGGGATATAGAATGAAAAATACTCTATTTAATCAACAACTTATAATGTTGATAATTATCTAAATATATTTTCTCTAAACTATAAACAAATAATACCAACTTTTACCATAAATTAAAATTTTTGATTGGATATTGTTTCAAGCGTATAAAGTCTCACTTTTAATCTGGAAATTTTTAATTTTTATCAATGACTTTAAAAGTACATAATTTTTTTCCTGTTGACTCAAATTTAATACACTCAAGAATAAAATTAGTTATTGCGCAACATTTGCGTATTGCGTGGAAAGAACGCCAACTCACCCGTATTAACACTCATCTTGACGATTTATTTTTGGATCGTGTGTGTACATATTATAGATATATATTAGTCCATGTTAATTCGTTAACAACATTAAAAATAAATTAAACAATGTGACAGATGTTTGTCAGATAAACATTCGTATTATATTGTTCATTTTTTTTTTACGTCTGTGAGTGGTTAAGCGGTGATTGTTGTAGGTATTTTATATTTTATATTTTAAACGTCACTTTTAGGCTCAATGTTTGCGTAATCTCATTATTTCACTTGATTTTTATTGTTAATAAATAGTTTGTTTTATTGCTTTTGACAAATACTAAATGTTTAAATTTTTTATTTTAATTTATTCTCGGGAATTTATTATCATAAGTTATAAATCAAGCTTAGAACAGTACTCGGTTTACTTTAGCAAATGTATGACTAAAAAAAAAAAAATCTAAATATGGCAGAAAAAATAAAAAACATTGCAGTTTGTTAATAAAAACTGCTTTTTCATTTATTTAGATGAATTTTTTTCATTAAAAAATTATTATTAAGTAAAGTACAAATTATGATCAATAATTTACAGTGTAAGTATGAATAATTGACGAGAGATTTTGGGTAATTGGTAAACACCAGATTTTAATAGCCTCCGAGCTTTAAGATTTGAATAAGAGGAAAATTGAGGAAGCTTGTTAAATATTGCTGAGCCCGTTGAGTGCAATGAAATCCCAAGGGCTAAACTCTTGATCACCTCTCGAGACTTTCATGTATGTGCTTTCATGTATATCCCCTTGACCTAAATTCTTCCGCACAAAATCCCCCGAGTATTTCAATAAATTTTCGATACTTGACTATAGACGTATGGTGTGTATTTTGTATACAAGTTCAACTTATCTTCGGAAAATGTATTGGGGATTGAAGAAAAACAATTTCCCAAGTAGGATAAACTCAAATGCATTTTCATTTTTTATCACATCCACTTATTTTTGATCGCCCAACACATCAATTTAATAATAAGTAAACCCTCAATATTTTTCACCATCCTTGTGAAAAAATTTTCTTATATGTTCATATGTGACCATATCAAAAAATTGATGCATTTATATCTGGCCTGAAAAGATCTGATATGGTCTATATATAATTTTTGATGTTCTGATAAGCCCAAATATGACCATATCTGACTTGATGTGTTCATACAGCACTTCATACAATCTGATATATATGATATGATCTGATATATTCATATATAATTTTTAATGTCCTGGTATACCTATACATAGTCATATTGGATTTGATATGTTTATATATGGCTTGATATCTCCACATATGACCTGATATGTCCATATATACACATATATGACTCGATATGCCTATATCAAGCCGGATGTGGTTTGAGATACATCCCTGTCAAGTCTAATATGGTTATGTATGTCCATATAACATTTTTTGACCAACGCTAGTGATGAAAGTTTTCGACAGATGGCGCATAGTCGTTAAATTGTCTCCCTATAAGAGATTTAAGTTTGAGAAATTAAGTTCTAAAATAAAATTAATTATTATAAATCTTATGGGAAGCTTATCTAATATTGGTTTTTTATTCAATCAACGTTAATATTGATTCAGAAAATTTTTTCACATGTATATAATTTATCTTTGTTTTCTGATACTCTGATAAAGTATTCAAAAAAACCGGGGAATTGAACAATGCAATGTTACAAACTTTCCAAATTATTTCGGGCGTTTAAATTCCCGTGAGTTTCGAAACTATCAAGTGGAATGCATGTGGGCTGTTTACTAATTTAACTATTTTTATTGATTTCCGATAGTTGGATTCTGAAGATATTGCATTCCAGAATAAAAAAAGCCTCCTATACTATTTAAAAAAAAAATAATTTCCTGAAATATTAAAAACCCTCAAGGGTTTATTTATCCTTCCGGAATGCTAATATGTATTATGGACTAAATATGTATGGCATTCATAACATGTGTTATACACTTTGCGATAAAGGTATAGGGCGATGCACCAGTGGCCCACTGTTCTCTTGTAGGTATATATATATATATATATATATATATATATATATATATCTATATATCTGTATAAGCGAATAGCATACTACACACGGTATCCTCATCTTTGGAATACAACTGCATAACACCGAGTAATTCATATAGATACATACATAGCATCTACAGTAGCCAGCGGTTTATTTTCCCAGACAACTTATTGCACTCCAAGGTTTACCCTCGGGCAATATATCCTCGGGAAAATTACATGTGAGGTGGATTCCAAAATGAGGCCCACCATATACAGGGCTAGTGTTTTCAGGTGGATATTATTGTAGAATATATATTTGAGGCGGGAGCAAGGGCTGAGAAATGATGAGCTTTTGAAGATGAAGCTTTCGAGGGTTTAATTTAAAAATTTGATACATGATATAGGAAAGAAAAGATGGAACTTAATTTAAATTAGACAATGAACAAGATTAAACGAGAATTTTGTGAACATTAATCATCGACCTAGGGCAGATTAATGTCGCCTGGCTCAAGAGCTACCGATAGCGCAGTATCTTCTGTAAGTCTATATATGTCAGTTCGTCAATGACGGAAAGTTGCTGGCACCAAAACTCCGGCCAACTTCTCAGCCAGCCAAGCTAAATTACTTTTAATCAACTTCCTTCCTTACTTTCCTTGTAGGGTTAGAAGATCTCGTTCGTTGCTAGTTAAAAGCTTACAAGGTTGTTTCAAATAATATTTTCCTCGTGATATCTTTTTAAGTAGTATCGTCTAAGTTAAACTTGTTTGTTAAGATTTATATCAATTAGAAGAAGAACTTTTCTCGGAAGTTGTTCGAAAACTTCAAAGATTCTACACAAATTAGAGGATATAATTTTCGAGACTAATTTTTTGTCTGAACAATTGGTTAAATTGATTAAAATAATTTTTATTTGATTCAAGTGAAGCTTTTCGTCTGTTAAAAAATTTAAATGTTAAATTTTTAATTTTAATAAATTCTTGAATTAAGAAATCATTGTCTGAGAATAGTTTTTTTTTCTCAGTGCATTATGATTTATGTTTCACAATATTGGTTTAAGAAAACTTTTTTTAATTGTGATTATCGATTTCAATTTTTTATTCTTTTACTAAAAATTTGAAAAATAATTTTTTTGATACAAAATCAAATGCCAACTATAACTATCATTGCCTAGTTATTAATTTCTCGTATTTTTTGGTTAAATTATCAAAGTCATAATGCTTATCATCTATTATATTACAGTGAGATCGGAATTACTTCCGAATATTCAAGGGTTTGATATAACAGCCGCTTCGTCGTTTGACCCAAATGGGAATCAACATTACGATCATTCCACATTCTTAATTGACGTCACAGTGGCCCATCAATTTTAAAATGCCAATAATGTTCTATAATTTATTTTTTACTCTACCGAAAATTTCAATGCTAATTCTCATTATCATAAATTATCACTAAATTCCACGTATCTAGAACATTATAATTACAATTATGGAATAGATTTGAAAATTTTAATAATGTTATTAACAATGATTATTATTATTAAAAAAAACAATAATAATAAAAACCTATGACAGAAATTTCTGATACAACAATACATGGCTAATTTTTATATCCGAACATACATAGTCTAATACGGCAATATATAGCCTGATTGAATCATAGCTAAATTTATCCTTATAAGGGTAACAAAAAAAAATTTTTTTTAACAATTTTATTGATAGCTTTCATTTTTTACATTTTTAATTCGTCAAAAAAAATTTTTAATCATTTGATGAAATGTTGTTGGTTGATAATTTCTCATTTACCTAAATTGTTTATAATATAGATTTATTTTTTTATAATTCTGCTTTTCGACTTTGTTGAGCTTATTGAGGTAAAAAATTATTGGAAGAAAATTATTTTTATTTTAAAACTAAATTTCTCAAACTTAACTCTCTTGTAGGGAGATAACTCAGCGACCGTTCGCCCCCTGTCGGAAATTTTTAGAACTACATTTGGTTAAACATTTATATGTGGATACATATGACGATATTATGTCTAATATGGGTATCTGAAGTCACATCAGGACAAAAAAAAATCTGAAATAGACATTCAAATTTATAATGTGGCCACATGTATTAATTAATCGGACAATTTTTCTATCGAAATAATAATAAAATATTATAAATATCGGGTGACACCGAATGCTAAAAATGATAACAATAGTGAAAACATTCCGCTGACCTGTCAGATGTTTTAAAACATTGTGGAGGAAAATGTAATTTAATAATGGTCTCTTTTTGCAAGATAACTAATGTAATTAAAATTAGTATGCATGACAGAATAACGCTTGTCCATTGTGTAGATAAAATAAAGAAATGAAAAAATGTAAATATCACTTTGAAAGCAAAGCAAAGCAGAGGGGTCCCTTAAGTTTTATTTCCCATATGATAATCTAAATGAAATCTCCAGGAGTTTTATCGCTCGGGAATAACCAGGACAAAGTCAAGGAAATCAATGCACGCTACGAAGAGAGCAAAATAAGTGCATACTTTGAGCATGCGTGAGTGTATCAATGAAACCGCCCCAATTTGTTTATAAACTACTTTACACCTTTCTGCAATAAATTTCTCGAATAGTTGGACTTTTTTGACTCGTCGGTGAACAAAAAAGATCCAACTCGATTGCTTTCCCTCGCAATTTTCCTTCCTATCAAAAAAATAGCAACAAGTATCAATTTCAAACGCTATAGAGGTGACTTGCGAGTGTCAAAAGCTATTTCGAAGGTGCTCTATAAATGATTTAGTGTCGCTAGGTTCAGTTGTGTAGAAATTTAGTTTCTATTGGAGAAAAAAAAATCCATTTAAAGTTTTTTTGAGGGTGAGTTATTGTCAAAATTTGAAATTATTGATCGACAAGGCTTAGATCGATGGCAAATAATGGAACACTTTTCAACTAGAACAGTAAAATTAAGTGAAAAAGTTTTTTGAACGAACGATAAATCTAATAGTAGATGGTTATATTGTTAGAACAATTTCTGGAAATTATGCACCAATTAATGCTGCAATACTCCTCACTAATTATTAATTTCCGTCGATAAATAGATCAATTATAACTGATCGATAGACGCTGAATTGTAATTAGCTTAAGTAATGACGTTGATAACCTACATTAGATTGCTGCGATATATTAAAAGCTTCAATTTTGAATATCTAGTCACTTCGGTTCCGATAATCGCACGGGAAATGTTTTTGCTGTTCAAATTATTCCGATGAAAGATTTTTTTCTTTTTCTAAGATTGTTATAAAATCACTTATTAAAAATTTATAAAATCGTAAGAAATGGACTTTTTTCTACTTCTTAAACATGATAAACTAACATATTTTTGAAGAAGACTCACAAAATAAAAAACGTAATTTTTTTGCCCACCTTAAAATTTGCAAGCGTGTTTTTATCAGGAATGTTTTAACGTATGAATAGATACATCCTCAATTATACATTATAATGAATATAAAGCGCCGAAATAAAATTATTTAAAATTGATAATTAAAATAATCGTGTTACATGACATAAATACATATGAGAATTAATCCATTTTATTCAAGCTTCCTTCAATTTTTAATCCCATAGGATAAATTATTCCAAAGGTACTTGAATATTCATCCACTACGGGAAACAGTAGTAAACTATTCAGTTTGGAATAATTTAATATTTTTACACTTTTAAAAAGCTCTTGGAATATCTTGAATTATTTATAACTTATAAATTATAAATAATTGTTTTTATTTTAATGTTTTTGACTAAGAGCCTTACAATTCTCGAATTAGCAATTTTTTCCCTGCATTGAGAGAGTATTCTGGTCGAGAGGTTCGATTTTAAGGCGATTGTACGGATGCTATAAAAAAGAAACAAATTTTTCTCTATCAATTTTATTATTAAAAAAAAAAAAAAAAAAAACAAAATTGAAATTGTTAGATGCTAGGGACTCAATAAAAACGTGATTTCAACCCTCCTGGTGATCAGATTAATAAATTTTTTGTGAATTCTTAAAAAAAAAAAAGATCTACAATTGATTAAACTTTTAATTTCTAAACCAGATTTTGTATCTTCTTACTACAGATGTACGAAATTGATAGCACTAATGCCGTAAAAATGTATTCCAGTTTTGAAAAAAAACTTCTTGTGTAAATCTAAAAAGGGCAATTTATCACCTTGAAACACTTTATCCCTCGGCTTAGTGTCTCTCTTGAGTCTAGTCGAGTAGCGTCACGCCGGGACTCAAGAGCACCGAAACTCAAAGTAAAGGCTGAGGGAATGAAATCAAGCTTAAAGCTTATTCTCAGAGGAGGGTTTACTTTTAAACTTTGACATATTTGTTGACAAATACAAGAGCAAATATCGAAATAATCTTAAGGTAAATAATCGTGAGAGCGTTTTGTCTTCTGCTTGTCCAAATGTTTAAAAGATGACCTTGACCCAGATTCGAAATTGGTATATTTAGTATCCAAAGTTACCGTATAAACAGATAGAAAAATTTAGTCGAAACTTCTGATCACCACTTTATTAATTTTGATTCAATTTTTCGGATCATATTTCGATTATGATTCTTGTTAAATCTCACGAAAGTTGGTATATAAATTACTGTTTTCATTATCCCAATATCGTAGACCTAATTTGAGATTATGTTGATGGTATCGTCCTTCTTAATCCTCGTTACTACTATTACCCAGATTAAGAGGAGTAAAATCCAACTGAGAGGGTATAACTATGTAGGGAAAGATCATTAATTGCGACAAATTTACTAATTATTTATTTAGTGTCTGTCTGTCATATGGAAAACAAACCGATGTAATGAGCGTAGCAGTGAGTAAGATGAAAATATAATAATAATAATAATAATAATAAAGTAACGGGTGGAGCTTGAAGCGACGGGTAAAAATTAAAAGTTTAATTGAGAATAATTATCACGAAAGAATAAAAAGATAGTGTAAAAAAAAAAGTTAATAGAAAATGAGTACTCGCGGGCGTTTCTCTTAGTGAGCTGTGAGCTGGGAACTAAATTACTCCTCGAATACGCTTCGTGGCGTTCAACAGAAAACAAAGCTTGATAAATTAAAATAAAACATAGTATGACCGGCTGAATACTAAAAAAATAAA